AGCTTAATGAAGAATTGAAGAAAAGTAATGAGTGTGCAGAAATGCTAAAACAAAAGGTAGATGAGCTTACGAGGCAGAATAATGAAACCAAGTTAATGATGCAGAGAATTCAGACAGAATCAGCGAACGTGGTTTTGGAGAAACAAGCTATCCAGCAAAGATGTGAAGCCCTGAAAATTCAGGCAGATGGTTTTAAAGATCAGCTACGGAACACCAACGAACACTTGCATAAGCAGACGAAAACAGAACAGGATTTCCATAGAAAAATTAAATGCCTAGAGGAAGACCTGGCCAAAAGTCAGAATTTAGTCAGTGAGTTTAAGCAAAAGTGTGACCAGCAGAACATTATCATCCAGAACACTGAGAAGGAAGTTCGAAGTCTGAGTGCGGAGCTGAACGCCTCCAAAGAGGAAAAGCGACTCGGGGAGCAGAAGGTACAGTTACAGCAAGCTCAGGTGCAAGAGTTAAATAACAGGTTGAAAAAAGTGCAAGACGAACTGCAATTAAAGACCATAGAGGAGCAGATGACCCATAGGAAGATGGTTCTGTTTCAGGAGGAATCGGACAAGTTCAAACGCTCGGCAGAGGAGTTTCGGAAAAAGATGGAAAAGTTAATGGACTCCAAAGTTATCACTGAAAACGATATTTCAGGCATCAAGCTTGACTTCGTGTCTCTTCAGCAAGAAAACTGCAGAGCTCAGGAGAACGCTAAGCTCTGTGAGACAAATATCAGAGAACTTGAAAGACAGCTTCAGCAGTATCGCGAGCAAATGCAACAAGGACAGAATGTGGAAACAAATCATTACCAGAAATGTCGGAAACTTGAAGATGAGCTGGTAGCCCAGAAACGTGAGGTCGAAAGCCTGAAGCAAAAGATGGATCAACAGATAAAGGAACACGAACATCAATTAGTTTTGCTCCAGTGTGAAATCCAAAAAAGGAACCCAGCCAAAGACTGTCCCTTCAAACCAGATTTTGAGATGGCAGTAAATGAGTGCCAACACTCTGCAGACCTGTCCTCTAGGAACGCAGGGCAGCTTCACCCAGGGACCAGGTCTCCTCTGCTGAGATGGAATCAAGACCCACAGCAACTGGAAGAAAAATGGCAGCATCGGGTTGTTGAACAAATACCAAAGGAAGTCCAGTTCTGGCCGTCAGGGGGTCCACTTGAGAAAGAGAAAAGCCAGCAGTGTTACTCTGAGTATTTTTCTCAGACAAGCACCGAATTACAGATAACTTTTGATGAGACAAACCCTATTACAAAACTATCCGAGATCGAGAAGATAAGAGATCAAGCTCTGTACAGTTCCAGGCCACCAGTTAGGTATCAAGATGACAAGTGTGAAATGGACCTGGCAAAGCTTTTGGCCCCCTTGGAGGTATACTCTGGATTCTGAGACCTTATCAGCTATCTCATGCCAAGTTTCCTCTCTTGTTTCCTTTCTCTGCTAGACTAAGTTTTTTAACAATGTTGAATGAGATTGGCTCTTTGTAGTTCTGGCAGAAAATTATGATATAGAGTGGCTTGAATCTTCACTACAAATTATCCTTCTTTAATTTTTAAATGCCTGAGATTAAATACATAGATGTAATGGTTATATGGTTATATTTATGGTATTATATTCTGAAGAATGTGTTTTTTAAAAGCTAGAAAAACCAAGGGCAGTTCACTTTAATTTCTAAAGTTTTTTTGGACAAATTTCATCTCAAGTCTTTTTTAAATGTACCTTTTTTAAAAGATTTTATTTTTAAGTAATCTCTGTACCCAACGTGGGGCTTGAATTTACAACCCCGAGATTAAGAGTCACATGCTTTACTGACTGAGCCACCCAAGTGCCCCAAACATAGCATTTTAATACCTTAATCGTCATCTAAAGTAAACTTCAGACTCTCAAAATAATATTACTTGCCCCTTTCGTTTGAAAATTTTCCTCTCTTTACTTTCGTTATTGTAGGAATTATATTTGTATTAAGGATGGGTAAAGTGACGTAATGTTCTTTAGATGACTTTTAACGTCTCATAAATTCCTGTTGCAGATAGCTAAGAGCAAGCAGTATGATATGCACACAGAAGTCACCGCATTAAAACAAGAAAAGAACCCAGGCCCTAGTGCTGAAGAATGGATGCTTGAAGGGTGCAGACCATCTGGTGGACTCAAGAGAGATTTTCTTAAGAAAGGCTCAGAACCAGAGACCATCCAGAACTTGGATGGCGATCACGCCTGTTCAGTTAGGGATGATGAATTTAAATTCCAGGGGCTCCGGCACACTGTGACTGCCAGGCAGTTGGTTGAAGCTAAGCTTCTGGACATGAAAACAGTTGAGCAGCTGCGACTTGGTCTCAAGACTGTTGACGAAGTTCAGAAAACTCTTAGCAAGTTTTTGACAAAAGCCACCTCAATCGCGGGGCTTTATCTAGAATCCACAAAAAAAAAGATTTCATTTGCCTCAGCAGCCAAGCAAATCATAATAGATAAAATGATGGCTTTAGCATTTTTAGAAGCTCAGGCTGCAACAGGTTTTATAATCGATCCCAATTCGGGTCAGACATACTCTGTTGAAGATGCAATCCTGAATGGAGTTATTGACCCCGAATTTAAAATTAGGCTCCTTGAGGCAGAGAAGGCAGCCCTGGGATATTCATATTCTTCTAAGACATTGTCAGTGTTCCAAGCTATGGAAAACAGAATGCTTGACAGACAAAGAGGTAAACACATGTTGGAGGCCCAGATTGCCAGTGGGGGAGTCATTGACCCTGTGAAGGGCATCCGTATTCCTCCAGAAGTTGCTCTGCAACAAGGCTTGTTAAATAACGCCATCCTGCAATTTTTACATGAGCCATCCAGCAACACAAGAGTTTTTCCTAATCCCAACAACAAGCAAGCTCTCTATTACTCAGAATTACTGCGAATGTGTGTATTTGATGTAGATTGCCAGTGCTTTCTGTTTCCATTTGGGGAGAGGAACATTTCCAATCTCAATGTAGGGAGAACGCATAGGATTTCTGTAGTAGATATTAAAACAGGAGCAGAACTGACTGCATATGAGGCTTTCCAGAGAAACCTAATTGAAAAAAGTACCTATCTTGAGCTTTCAGGGCAACAGTATCAGTGGAAGGAAGCCACGTTTTTTGAATCCTATGGGCATCCTTCTCATATGCTGACTGATACTAAAACAGGGTTACAGTTCAATATTAATGAAGCTATAGAGCGGGGAACACTTGACAAAGCCTGGGTCAGGAAGTATCAGGAAGGGGTCATCACACTTACAGAGCTTGCTGATTCCCTGCTAAGCCGGCTGGTTCCCGAGAAGGATTTGCACAGTCCTGTTGCGGGCTACTGGCTGACCGCCAGTGGGGAAAGGATCTCTGTCCTAAAGGCCTCCCGCAGAAATTTGGTTGACCGGGTCACTGCCCTCAGATGCCTTGAAGCCCAAGTCAGTACGGGGGGGATAATTGATCCTATCACTGGCAAAAAGTACCGGGTGGCAGAAGCTTTGCACAGAGGCCTTGTGGATGAGGGGTTTGCCCAGCAGCTGCGACAGTGTGAGTTAGTAATCACAGGGATTGGCCATCCTGTCACTAACAAAGTGATGTCAGTGGTGGAGGCTGTGCATGCAAATATCATAAGTAAGGAAATGGGAATCAGATGTTTGGAATTTCAGTACTTGACGGGGGGGTTGATCGAGCCACAGGTTCATTCCCGGTTGTCAATAGAAGAGGCTCTCCAAGTTGGTATCATAGATGTTTTCATTGCTACCAAACTCAAAGATCAAAAGTCCTATGTCAGAAATATAATATGCCCTCAAACGAAAAGAAAGTTGACGTACAAAGAAGCTTTAGAAAAAGCTGATTTTGATTTCCACACAGGACTTAAACTCTTAGAAGTATCTGAACCTTTGATGACAGGAATTTCTAGCCTCTACTATTCTTTGTAAAAGGACATGCTTAAAAAACTTTGCACGGGGCTGATGCTCTCCACTTCATGTTATCTGTCCAGAGCTTGATGATATCAGTTAAATATACAGCCTAGCAATTATGTCATACACTCAAAGCACCATTTATTTCTTGAGGCCTGGAAATAGCCGATTGTTCAGAAGAGAGAATAATTTTTAAGTTGAAAGTAACAAAATATTTACTGTTCTTCAAAATGGTTTCCTTTAGATTTTAGGTTAGTGGTTTTGTTTTGTTTTGATCTTGCCTACACTAAAAGAAAAGGTATTTTACCTAGAATATGGAGTAAGCTTGATGAACTCCAGCAAGTTCATAGTCTCCATTCTTCAGAATTCTTCATCACTGAATGGATCCAGCCGGACATTAGGGCTTCCATTTTAAAATGATTCATTACATTCACTGGAAGAGCACTTCAGAAGACATCATGGAATCAAAGAGAAAGATGTAAATTTGTTCCCACATCCATGAAGCTACAGTGTTTCAGGTCTCCTTGAAAAGTGAAAAAGTTGCTAGCTTTTCTGTACATTGTAACCTTCTTTACATAATAAATGTTTACCAAAACCTCCCATTTCCAGGTAGAGTCTGTAATTAAAAGTAGCATTATTGTGTGTTGGAAGAGGGGGAGAGATTTTTCTTTATTCTGTGTATTTTTCATTTGCATGTACACATTCACTGTTCTTTCAGGTTTCCATTTTTGATACTTTTCTGTCTAGACCATTGTGATTGTAATGCTAATGCAAAGGCAGCAATTCAAAGATCTTCTAGTGCTTCATGAATAAAATTGAGTTTTTCTATTTGTCATATTGATAGACCAATTGGGAGGTTAGAGTGTCACAGCTTTCTTTGCTACCATAAACATTTTGGAAGTACATCTGCCGCATGATGTGATAAACATGGTTAAGTGAATGAATAAAATGCTCAGTAAACTGTGTGTGATGAAAGAAATATTTCTACATTCTTGTTTTCTGTGGAGAGGTCCGTTTAATAGCTCAAGCATTTACTGGTATGTATCTTTTTTTTTTTTTTTTTTACCACTCACACTTGTCAGAAGTCACTGGAAGAAGAAAAGAAAGAGCATGTTGAAAAAGCCAAAGAATTACAGAAATGGGTATCAAATATCAGCAAGACATTGAGAGATGGCGAGAAGGCTGGAAAATCTCCCTTCTCGAAGCAAAAGGTATTCACTGAGGTTCTGGTGTAATAATAACAGTGGGTAGAATTTACTGAGTTGACAAGGTCAATCTAAAAACACTTTACTTCTTTACCTTAATTTTCCCCATTTTTTTTTTAAAGATTTTATTTATTTGACAGAGAGAGACACAGCGAGAGAGGGAACACAAGCAGGGGGAGGTGGAGAGGGAGAAGCAGGCTTCCCGCAGAGCAGGGAGAACGATGGGGCACTCGATCCCAGGACCCCCGGGACCATGACCTGAGCCGAAGGCAGACGCCCAATGACTGAGCCGCCCAGGCGCCCCTTCCCCATTTTTGTAGGCAACTATAATGAGGGTCAGAGAGGTTAAGTAACCTGCCCAAGGAATCACAGTATGTAGCACAAGGAAGTGTCTCTGATTCCAAAGCCTGAACTACATATATTAGTCTTACTATTACTGCTGCTTCTTGTGGTTAGATCTGCTTCTTGATTATAGTGAAGAGAGTCCCCAAGGAGCAGGGTCATCCTGTTTTGTGCCCAGAGTAAACCCATGCACTCCTCATTGTAAAGATATGTGGTCTCATTCTTACAAAGGTAAAGGAAAAGATTCAAGAACAACAGAAATACAAACTAGGGTATTAACATTTTTGAGGATTTAGTTTAGTTGTGCTTTCCTGGGTCTTTGTATTTTATAAAAAAGTGTTCTGTAGTCAATCGCCAGAAATTCTAGACTCTTTCCCTTACCTAAATGAATTCTTCCATGGCTGTGGGCTCTCTTCCGTTCCCCAGCTGCTAGTTGGATAGCGCAGCTTCTGACATGTTAGTGCCCTTGATGTCTGTCAGACAGCACTGCTTGAAGCTCTTCAAGCAGTTGTTCAAGGCGTTGTTGAGCTAAGGTCCAGTGTTGATGCTTGCCGGTGATAGCACTGGAATTGAGGCTGTATTAAAAAAAATAATAGTAAGTTTCCACTAAGTTAAGCAGCATTTTTCCTGAAGTATTTTTCCTACACTTGCCCTCCTGCCGCTGCCCTGACCTTCAGAAATTACGGGGGCTATCGTCAGCTTCCTCTTCTAGCTCTGCATGAGTGTTCACTTGTCATCAGTTGAAACAGACATTGTTGATGTAATTAGGGGGAAACTTCAATGTCTTGTCTAATTTTGGCTATGATATGAGGCAGATGTAACTTATCTGGGATTCCCTGTTGAAGAAGTTCACAGAACCGAGTGTATACTTGAATTAGTATTCAGTTGAAATAAAGCTGTATTACCTCATAGTCTTAACATACTATATTTCCTACTAGTGTGGAAGAAATCAGACCAGTTTTGTGTTTTAAACTCCAATTGAATTTGGTGTTTTAAACTCCAGACCTTCAAAGTAACTTTATGTGAATATTGACTTTAAAATATCTTTTCCCTCTTTTTTCCCCCCTATTAGATAGGAAAAGAACTAAAATGGGGACATAAACTTTAGCAAGGATTTCTTGGGAGAACAAGTTTCTTTTGAAAGATGTAGATTACAAACCTTGGCATTTTCTCATACTGCAGTTTAAAATCCTCCCAAACCTTACTAAATCTGTTTTAGACCTAGTAGACATAAAAGTAGACAGAATTTTTAAATGCAGACCATAGCCTAAATGGTAAATCTATAAGAAATACTTGATGGTCTTTCTGTTAAGTGAAATTTAAAGTACTTTGATAGGATAATAAATGTGTGTGTTAAAAATCAATATGGCCTCATGATTACCTGTAACTGTGAAAAATAGACTTTAAGTTGACTCTGTTCTGAATAGAGTACATTGGGGAAAAATACGCCTTTTCATTTGCCCATCATTTCCTCTCATTTCTGCTCCTCTAAAAGAATGGCAGTCAATTTTTGAAATAAGACTATTCAGAAGTGATACATTGAGAGATTAGGAAAAAATGTTATAACCTCTTGCTTTTCCTCAAACAGATCAATTTTATTCCCCTGTCACAGACGAGTTTTGCAAATTTTAGAAATTATTTAATCTTCGTCTGCAGATCTACAGATTAATGCTTTCACCATAATTTTTTCAAAAGGAAGCAGGGCATATAGGAGCTTGGGGGAGGGCAGATACTGTTTTGGAGTAGTGTCCCACGTTCATGTATCTTTGAGCGCTGCACCACACAAGGATGACACTGGGCCAGTGAAGAACCTCTGGCCACTTCGGGATAGTTAAGGCAACCTTTATTCACTGTTGGACTGGGACACATGTGAGAACTACGTAATGCCGTGGTATTATTTCCTAATGAAAATGAGGGCATTATGGTTAGAGAAAGAGCAAGAGACTTTCCTTAATCTGCATTCTAGATAAAGTACTCTTCTTTTATCCAGGCTTGTACACTGGTAATAACTGATAGGTTATTGACTTGGGCCACTCAGAAAGTAGACCCATCATTTGGATCTTAATTAAAACTTGTTTAGTTTTTTAAAATTACTATTTTCTAGTCTTTATGAGGGGTGAGTTTGAATATGTTTTCTTAACCTTGCAGATTTCCAGTGAAGAAATATCAACCAAGAAGGAGCAATTATCTGAAGCACTTCAAACCATGCAGCTATTTTTGGCAAAACATGGAGACAAGTATGTTATAGGTTTTCATTAGCTCTTTTATTCAAAGTAGAGAAGTGGTCTTCATGTTATGCAAAGCCACAGCTGGTAAATTTTAATTGAGATTTTAAAAATCGAACTCGGAAATTTACCTAACATACAACTATGAACATAGCAATTTGTCACGTTTAGTCACTTATAGTCTTTACCAAAACCCTGAAATGTACGTATTATTCCCATTTATCAGTGGTAAGAAAAGAGGCTCAGAGAGGGATTAAGGGTGGGTAGCTAGTGAGTGGTATAGATTCCAAGCCAATCTTAATTCTAAGTAGTACTCTCTATGACTTTACGTTTTGGAAAATATGTACGAGTATGTTCATTTTCTTTGCTGAGACTTGTGATAACCTGGTTTCTCATATTTTGGTCTTTTTCCAACGAGGTACTTCATCTGTTTCAGCTAGTGCCTCAGGCGGGAAGAAACCTGCCCTTTTCTTAAATCTTTTTTGGGGCTGTCCCCAAGATTATGCCACAGTGACTTTGTATTGTACCTTAGAGAATCAGGTTAATTTCCTTGTTAATTTCATCTTTCTTCATGCTTCAGTTTGTACAAGTTTCATCTTGAGTAATGGTATCTTTCTGTCCCGTTTCCATGTTGGAACTAACAATAGGATCTTTCCCTCTTTCAGAGAACAGCATTGTTATTTTAGAAATGTGTGTATGCTAGGGAAGTGCTGATGTATTAGTTTACGTCCTTCTCTGCAGTCTCTTTCTCAGGCAAGGGAAGGATTCCTGGATATGTAAGGGCCATCCTTAGTTTTCATACAGTCATGCTGAGACGTGAGCAATCTGTATATGAAGTTTGTTTCATGATCATGTACCTATTTAGAAAAGGATTTTACAAAATCATTGAGCCTAATATGTCATCTTTATCACTTGAAAACTTGCATTCCTCTTTTCATGCTTTCTGGTTGTTTTAGAATGACAGATGAAGAAAGAAATGAATTAGAAAAACAAGTGAAATCTCTTCAAGAAAGTTATAATTCCTTCTTTAGTGAATCTCTGAAACAACTACAAGAATCACAAACCTTAGGAGATATAAAGGTAGAGGAGAAGGTAATATAATTTATTTAAAACATGAAGCTGTTTCAAGATTCTTAGCTTTATTGCATGGTTGTAGAAATATATGTCAATGACAAAGAAATGACCTTGAATTCATGTACATGGAAAAAATGTGGATGGAGTTTATCTAAGTATTTAGAGATTTCAATGTTGTTTATTAAATGCAGTCTCACACTTGCTGTCATCAGTTTCTGTGACATCTTAATCTCTGCCTTGCATGGTAAAAGAAAAAAATCATTCATTTTTCTAACTCTTCTCTTTAAAAGTCATTCTTCTACTGCTATATTAGGTATTTTACTATAAAAATATGATGTTATAAGATATACTTGACTCATCTTTAAAGATGACATTAGAGTGTTATGAACTAGTTTTGATTTTCAGAGATAACCCTGAGATTTACTGGAGGAATACTGGGCCATTCGTTATAGTGAGGATGCCCTAGCATCTTCTTAAAATATAACAGGAATCACTTAAAATTTGGCCTGTCTTTAAACTTTTGAAACTTGACAATACATATTCACAATATTCAACATACTGTTCAGTATTGAAAAAGTTATCTTTATATTCAATTCCCTTACTCCCTGGAATACTTTACACAGTATTTGTCACATTTTGGGGGTATGCAACAATTTTTCTGGTTCATTAGTTTTTTACTGTCTGCAAAGAAGTCTGTATGCTGTAAACATCAATAGCATGGGGTTTGATTCTCTCTTTCATGTCAGTCGACTAATCTCACCCAATTGCAGAGAGCATGATTTGCCTTCTTAGGTATGTGTTCTGTTTTCTCACTATCATCATTTACTCTGTTGTGTCCTCACTAACCTTGTTAATGTACACAATATTAAGTTTTCAATTCACAGATGCATGTTGTTTTCAAAGCTTTTATCACATCCTGTGCTGTTGAATAGATCACTGACATAGATCACTTGTGCATTTGAGCTGCCTAACATTCACAGCATTGCTGCGCCTTGGTAAGTAGAGGATTTTTATGTTGAAGTGTATTTATTTCTTAAAAAAATGCAAACTGAGTTTCATGAAATTCTGCCCACCCTTGGGTCACAGACTGACCCGAGAATTTTATATTCTCTTTTCAGCTGGATAAAGTGATTGCGGGCACCGTTGACCAGACAACTGGAGAAGTGCTTTCCATCTTTCAGGCAGTTTTAAGAGGCCTTATTGACTATGACACAGGAATCAGGTTGCTTGAGACACAGCTAATGATTTCTGGTCTCATTTCACCAGAATTGAGAAAATGTTATGACCTTCAAGATGCTGAAAGTCATGGCCTTATTGATGAACAAGTTTTGTGTCAACTCAAAGAACTAAATCAAGCAAAGGAGATCATTTCTACTGTGTCATCTACCACAATTCCAGTGCTGGAAGCTTTGGCCCAGGGCATGATATCAGAATCCATGGCCATCAGAGTTCTTGAGATACTGCTTTCCACAGGCTCTCTAGTCATTCCAGCCACAGGAGAACAGCTGACCCTGCAGAAGGCTTTCCAACAGAACTTGGTTTCCTCAGCATTATTTTCTAAAGTCCTGGAAAGGCAAAACACGTGTAAAGATCTTATTGACCCCTGCACCGCTGAGAAGGTGTCTTTAGTTGATATTATACAAAGAAGTATTTTACAGGAAAACACTGGGATGCGGCTTCTACCTGTGAGACCACAAGAAGGAGGCAGAATAACATTAAAATGTGGAAGAAACATAAGCATTTTAAGGGCAGCTCATGAAGGTCTCATAGACCGTGAAACCATGTTTAGGTTATTAGGTGCACAGCTTCTCTCCGGGGGTCTCATCAATTGCAACTCTGGTCAAAGAATGACCGTTGAAGAAGCTATGGCAGAAGGGGTGATTGACAGAGATACAGCTAACAGTATTCTCACATATCAGGTTCAAACAGGTGGAATCATCCACTCAAACCCCGCTAAACGTTTAACGGTGGATGAAGCAGTCCAGTGTGATCTAATAACTTCCAGCAGTGCTCTTTTGGTACTAGAGGCTCAGCGAGGCTATGTTGGACTCATTTGGCCTCACTCTGGTGAAATATTTCCTACATCTTCTTCCTTGCAGCAGGAATTGATTACAAATGAATTGGCATACAAAATCCTGAATGGCAGGCAGAAGATAGCTGCTCTTTATATTCCAGAAACTTCTCAGGTCATTGGTTTGGATGTTGCTAAGCAGCTGGGAATTATAGATAATAACACAGCATCGATTTTGAAAAGTATAATACTGCCTGATAAAATGCCAGATTTGGGAGATTTAGAAGCTTGTAAAAATGCCAGAAGATGGCTCTCTTTCTGTAAATTCCAACCATCCACAGTCCACGATTACAGGCAAGAAGAGGATGTTTTTGATGGAGAAGAGCCAGTGGCAACTCAGAGCTCAGAACAAACTAAAAAATTATTCCTGTCCTATTTGCTGATAAATAGCTATATGGATGCCAACACAGGGCAGAGGCTTTTGCTGTATGATGGAGACTTGAATGAGGCTGTCGGGATGCTACTGGAAGGCTATAGTGCGGAATTTGAGGACACACCCATTAAAGAATGTCTTGATGCCTTAAGACTCCCTGGTGTTTTTCTGAATAATGCTCCAAGTGAAGAAAAGGATGACAGTATAGTTTCACCGAGTAGTTTTGATACATGTCATTGCAGAGAACCTAAGTATAAAGACATTCTTGAAGATAGAAAGCATACCATAGATGAAGAGTTTAATGAAATGGGGAATAATTTTACCAGTAGTGAATTCTATCAGTCAGAAAACCTGGCAGATATAATCGCAACTGATCATAAAGTCAAGAGTTCATCCAGTGTGTGTGTTTCCAATTCTGCATCCTATTTACCACAGCCTGGAATTGTAGCAGTTGGCATACTTGGACAAGAATCTGAAAACATACTTAAAAACTGTGAAAATCAAAGTCCAGTTGGAACAAATGAACATGCAGGTGAATGTAGCCATTCTAAAAATATTCAAAACTTTGCAAATGATTCGGTAACAAATCCTATTATGAAATCAAAAACTAGTAGGATCTGTGACTTGAATGAAAAAGAGAATGAAGATAATATAAACAGGGATTTGACAATCTTTGACTATTCTCCTAGGCTGAGTGCCTTGCTAAGTCATGATAAATTGAGGAATGATCAGGAAAGCCTCAGTGATGTACATACCACAAAGAGCAATGGAAATAAATGTGAAGACTCCACATTGCCACTCAGCGACCACACCATGCTGTCGGGTCACAGAATGGGAGAGACATTTCAAGAGCAGTTTCTGGGAATTGCAGCTATCAGTTTCAGTTTACCGGGAGAACACTCTCAACGGAAACCTGTAAATATGGGTGACAGTCCTCCTCAGGTCCGGTCTTGCAATGGTAAATATATTTCAGAAACTTACGGCGAAGATGAAAGACTACATGCTGCCTCTCAGCAGAAACCTGAAGACAAGGAAACTGGGCCCCAGGTGGAAGAGTACGCCTGTGCCATGACCCCGCAGGGTGATACCTTTAGCACTCGGGCATCTCCAGTCTGCGGTACACCGCTGCCGGAAGGAACTGTCAGTGCTGGCGACTATGAAACGTCACTCCTGGATGATCAGCCGAGGGTGACAGAAACAGACACCGACAGTGAAGATGACTTTTATGATACTCCTTTGTTTGAAGATGATGACCACGATTCTCTGCTTCTGGAAGGTGACGATCGTGATTATCTACAGCCTGAGGACTATGCCGCACTGCCAGAGGAGACCGATGGGGCTGCTCTTCCTGGTGATGTGTTTTATGATGTTTCAAGAGAGAATGAAAATTCCGTGGTGGCCCAGGGGGCACTGGTTGGCAACTTAAGTGTGAGGGGAAGCCCAGAGTCTCTCCGGGGTGTTCTCATCGCTACTGAGAACGCTGGATTCGATCCTGGTGAAAGAATCCTTTCAGATTCAATTGGCTCACGTGAGGGCAATGGGCTGCTGCTGGAAACCGTATCAGAAAGGGAAAGCTCAAATAGCCTTGAAGGGGATGAGTCTGACTCATCAACTGATGATGAAATCGTAGAAAGAAAAGAGAGCTTCAGTGCTTTGTTAAAATTTGATGACACTGGATGTTGGAGAGGGAGAAAAGAAGAACATATCACTGGACAAGAATTTAAATCTGAGACTGAGCACTTAGATTTTATGCAGAATGAAAGTTACGGGGATTATGTGTGTGACAGTAATGATCAGGATGACGAGGACAATTATGATGACAATGATGGTGATGATGAAGAAGGAGTAGAAGGTGACACTGAGGGGCCCTGGTGCCAGGATGAGGCTACAGATAGGGATATCCAGTCGTGTGCCCCTGCAGTAGGTGAAAAGGAAAACACTCAGGACAGTCCGAGTGTTAATAAGAGAATTCTCCCGGATAAAGTGCACAATTACAGTTCTTTAGAAAACCAGCAAGGTGTAAATGCTTTACAGCTAGAATCAACTAGTAAAAGTAGCTTAGTAACAGAAAGAAGCAACCTTCAAGAATATACAACTGAGGTTGCTGGAAAAAGCCCAGGAAATCTGTTGCTGAATCATGAGCTGGCCCTTAAGGATATATTGCTGCCGATCACCACAGACACTGAATCAGAAGACACCTTTGGCTGTGTAGATACTTTACAGAATACTAATACCTGTTCAACTTCTGAAGTAGATAATGATCTAATGAACATGAAGGTTAAGTTGATCCAAGGGCCAGAATCTACTGACTCTGTGAAAGGTGGAGATCCATATTTTGAGAATGTGACACTTCAAGTCTACTCATCTTTGGATAAAATCACTTGTTCTGAGCCTGATGTAGTAGGAAAGCCTGCTGAGGAAAGCCATTTGTCATCCATAGCCTCTGTAACTGCCAGGGATCATCACGGAAATGAAAGAGGGGAAGAAATCCACCAATCTTTTCTAACTGAAAAGAAAGGTGACCAAAGCAGTATACTAATAGAAGGTGAAACATCAGTTCATAAAATGTGCTCA